CAACGCACAAAAGTTAATTGCAGTTTTTGAACATAAATTTATTGACTTCAATTAATTCTACAACATACATTTGTTGCTGTTAGTGTTTGTTTTCTTCACGGGCATCAATTGTGCAAAAAAATACAAATTAGCCTTATTTAACTGAAAGCGAAAAATCGATCAAAAAATTTTTTTTTTAATATTGATGTTATTTTCATTTTTGTAGTAGTTTTTTTTTAGCAGACGCGGTGGAGTGCTAAAAGAAATAATTAACTTATAGGAGTTGCAGCAAACATATACAAATGTACATGCATAATAACCATAAAAGGAAATATAAAAAGCGTGTGCAAATGGTACACTAATCAAATTTAATACAACATAAATGAGATATTCTAAAATATAACAAACAAACGAAACATTACTGTGTAGCAAAAGAACACAAAACCGACTGTAAATTAATATTTAAGATGTCGCTTATTACTGATATTTTTCCGCACTTTAAAACGCATTTGTATTTATTTACAAAATCAATTACACAATCATCACCACTTTACTGTGCTTTAACGGCAAATATTAATATTTTTACATACCCTATTAATTTCTTATTTAAAAAGAAATAAACTTTGTTATTAAAAAAACTAATTTACTTGAAAGTATAAAATAAAATTAATTCAAAAAAACTATGGTATTTTTTACTTTATAACTAGCTTAGTTCAAATGTTTACCTGCTAACGCTTCGTGTTAATGGGATTTGACTGTACTCTGTATTTTTCTTTAACAAATTACACTCAGAAGAATTTTCGCCTCTTTGAAATTTGTAATCAAAAGTATTTTCTAAAGTGTATGCAATGGAATATACATACATTTTACTAAGCAATTATAACTATGTATTTTTAGCTTAAAAACTATTTTTAACAAAAAAGTATTTCTATTTAATAAAAATTTGTATTAGTGCTAAAACAAAATTTTCTTTTTAAATATAAAAGTCGTTTATTTTATTTTATTATATTATATATAAAACTAAATTCTTTTTTACATAAATAAACCACAAATAAATCAAACTTGTATGCTTCTTTATTTATATGAGTATGACGCTTAGGCTTATTTATGTACATAATATGCATACAAAAAAGCATATATATTTATTTTTTATGAAAACTCGAATTCAGCGAAACACAAAGAAAACTTACGCAAAAAAAATATTAGATAATGACTACTTGGCTTCTGTATAATTATAAGATTAATAATTAGAAAAATTAATTAATTTAAAAAATAAAAAATATTTGCTAAAAATGTTTGTAATAGATGCCTGTTTATAAAAAAATTATTAAATATAATTAAGTGTATAATAAAAAAAGTAAACGTCTATTCTTTTTTGGACATAACTTTACACTTAAGAAATAATGGTGTTATTCTACCTTAGAAACAAAAATAAATCTAAAGAATGTTTCAAAATTCGAAATATTTTAACACCTTACTCTAAGGTGTAATTAGAAGGAATCTACAACACCAAAAACAGTAACCGTAACAATGCAAATGCATTTTTTTTCGAGATTAGCTGTTATATAATCCCCGSGTGATAAGGTTCAGGTTCTCTTAAGAGTCATCTAACGGTAGACACAGAAAACGTGCTGCTTCGACTYATTGCATGCAGAACATATGTATATTTCATATGTCAATTCTGCATAAGTAGGTGTTTAAACTGCTACAATAGCCAGAACGAAGTTGCGTAAGGGTCACATTAGATCGTCAGGGCAACTCGAGCTTTTCGTCTGCAATGGCTGGTAGTTTGA